TACTTATTTAGATAAAAGTCATATATTCATTTTAAGTTTTACAAATCCAGTGCCTACTCTTGGAGTTAACCTTATAATTGTATTACAGAACGCAAACGGCGTGCATTGGGTTGTCACTTAATCAACAGGGCCTGGTTGTAAAGTTTACATTGTTGGCGTCCCGGCTCTCGTTAAGGCCGCCTTCCCCACCAACAGCTACCCCACAAAAACTGTAGATTGTAACATATATTGGCACTTCTATAAAGGTGTAGGAACTGGAAACTAATATCATTGCTATGAAAATAATCAAAACATAAAACTATGGATTTAAAGTAGACATGCATGTACTGTAAACAAGCCGACTACAAAGACTAATCTTTTGACGAATTCTAAAATTTTAACGCAGATACGAGTCTAGACGCTCAATTGCTAGGCAAAATATTACAGCTTTATCTTTCAGAGATAAGATTAGTAAAAAGTGATAAACTCGAGAGGATGATATATAGGTAGAATTAACCTAATTATTAAAAAGGTTCAAGCCTTAATAGGGTTTGTGAAAAGGCAGATACTGAAAAGAATGGACAGATCCCAGATGAAATGTTTGTTACACTGAATTAAGTTATATAATACCCATGTTATAGGACAAACGAGAAACTTCTGTTTGTATAAAAAAATGTAAACCTGTCAAGGGAGCAAACTAGTAAAAAGTGTCTAAAATAATTAGAAAAGTAAGGTACACGTAAAAGTCAGAAAAGTAAACAATAAATAGACTAACTGTTATACTTTAATTATAATTTAAAAAAATTAAAGTTATAAATAATTTGCACAAAATGTATTTTTTTAATTATATTATCCTTATTGTTTTAGACAGACGCAAAATAAAACATAACATTAAATTTGTTCAATTTAAATTTCGTTAATTTGATTGTATTGGAAGGTTTCACTTCTTGTTGTGAGGATTATTGTATTTTTGATTAAAGAAATCTCAAACTACTTTAAATACCATAAAAAAAAAGCATTGATTAAAACAAAGGTCGAATAACACGCCTTCATGAAATCTTATTTGTGTCTACAATAATTATGTCACTCTTTGATTTCTTTGTACGTAATTGTATGTTTAATATAAACGATTCAACACATGTATATAATGACCGCAATCTGCTATGTGTTAGGTAGAGCAGTTGGAAGTTATAAAAAACATGGGTAACGTACATACATGTACTTATTTAACGATCGCAAGTAATAATAAAGAACGTCAACATTGGTAACGCCTACCTTCCTTATCTCTAGCAAACGTTGTGCTAGATCAGGGGCAGGTTAATGAAAGCCACATTTGAAGCCATCTCTACGTGACACATCTAGGTGAACTCCCCCCCCGTCTGTACCTAACACAAACAATTCCATTTAAATCAACTCATTCGGACGTTTGCAACCCTCGGGCAGATGAGGCTCGATAGCTGGGGACAGCAACTCTTCTAGGAGAGACAACTCCAAAATCAAACAACTGCTGCCTTGTAGTTTGTCTTGCTTGAACAAAGGCTATGGAGGTAAATCCAAAAAGAAAAGCAGGCTGAAATCGGAGTCAATCGCCTCAATGGCGC